CACCCTTTCTAAAGCTAATGCTGAATGAAGAGATTTGCCACAGGCAGGTTACAAGCTTTATGGCACAGTGCATGTTCCTGCAAAAAATACCTGCAACAGTGCTTGCTGCAATTGCGAAGACATTATTGTAGCTGTGTTTGGTCTGGGAAAATTGGTAGTAAATATAATTTCTTGTCACTTGCCTCCTCTATCATAGTTGAAGCTGTAACACTTTGCAGCTGATCTGTTTATGTTTTACACTGAGTTTGTGAATTAACCAGAGGACTAGGTGGACTACTTGCTCTGTTAAAATGTAACAGAGCATACTATTTTCTTCAGGTAATACTGTTTTCCTTAGGTCAAAGCTGCACACGAAGCATGATTCTGCAGTAGCAGCATTGAAAGCCCTTTTTGGTCAGTAGATTATCTCATAACTCAGCATTTCTTGGATTTATTTTTTTTTCCCCAAGTCTTAAGGCAAAGTTTTGGAGAGGTAAATTAGCTGAATAACACACAGAGAAGTAAACACACAGTGGCTTTTTATTTAATTAATACTTCTTGAAGTAGAAAACACACATTTTGCTTTGCATTAGAGGCTTCATTGTAATAATGTCTCTGTGCTATTCTGCGATGACTGTGCACTCAGGAGCACAAGTGCCAGTAAGAGTTCGTTAAAAGAAACAGGTGGTGGAACATTAGCAACCTCACTAAGCACTGAGAAATGTTCTTTAATTATAATCCATGCTCTTGTTATCACCCTTGCACCTGACACGTGTCTCCCTCCTTTTCTGTGGTTATACTGCAAGGCAAATCTTTTAACTTGCATCTGTGAGCAAAGACAGTTGTGGGCCCCTCCTATTTACTTGTGTTTTCCTGCATGTGACTTCCAGGGATGTGTATGCCTTCCTTGAGTAGCACTTCTTGGCCCAGGATTTCAAGCTGCTGCTGATAAGATCTGTAGGAAGCATTGCCCTGCAGTGTGGAAAGGTGTAGTGCATTCTAGTAGGAACCAGATGCGTGGATTGCTGCTGGAGGCCTTGTGAAATTCCTGTGTTAAAGTATAGAGGAACCACTTTTTCTAATGCTTGGTTTGTTGAGCGACCTCTTGCATCTACAGAACATAAAAGGAAGTAGACCATCTTTCAAAACAAAACCTAAATTACAGTGGATGTACACCTAAAATACTATGTTTTTCAATTTCACATGGAGCCAATATTTTAAAAGAAATAAACTACCAGGGGCTTTGATGGAAACGAGGCTCTACTTTCATGGAAAGTTATTGAAAAGTAGTGTCCTCTTTCTGGCATTGATGTTATAGAGGAGTGTGCATGGGCTTAGCCTGGTGCCACTGACGCTCACACCACATGCCTTAGTGTCTGTAAAAAGACTTTGTAAAACGACTATTCTAAACACAGCTAGTTGTGATATCACTGCAAGTTTTCAAAACTTTCCTGTATCTAAGGAACCCCATGCAGCAGTAAATCAACACAATGTAAGTATTTATGGTTTGCTGGAAAAAAAATAATAATGTCCCTTAGGTAAACTAGACTGAAATTTGACTTCTCTAAGTATGGTTTGGATCTGTGTGTGGTCCTCTTTTCCTCATTCCCTCTCCACCCAGACAATAAATATTTGGATATTTGTCAAATATTTTATGAGCCCGATAGTTATTTTCTATGGTGCACTATGGTTCTCAGTTGCTTACTGAAAAAACTGACATGAAGCGCATCTCCCACAGTCTGCTCAGAGAAGGCAGTTCTCATTTATAATGCCATTCAATTCTTGAAAACACTGAATAGGTCAAAGCTAGGAAATAGGTGCTATTTCTCCAGTGTTTTTCGTGCATTAGAGGCATTAACAAGCTGGAAGACAGGGAATCAAATTTTATGGTTCACTAACCATTTATCCTTATTTTCTTAGAGATAGCACATCTTCAAGCAAGCAGCAACATGAAGAATAATAAAGGATCTGTACTCTCAGCTGGAGTATTTACACGCTGAATTGATACATCAATCTCCAAGGCTGTCAATTATGTTCCAAGCGTGCTTGAAGCAATGGGCGTGAAACCTGTGCAACCAGCTACTTGTCACCAAAGCCTTTATTCATTTTGCAAAGAAAGCAAACAAAAAGAATTGTTATTAGTAACAATGGGTGAGATTCACTCGAGCTGATCTGGGAAAATGACAGTTTTGCAGCCAAATATTTTCTTGTGTATCTGAAGCTTCACCCAGTGATACATGGAACACTGTCACTGTCAACAGGACGCAGCTGTCAGACAGGTTTTGTGCCTTTTGGCCAGGGCACACTTAGCAGGGTCTGAGCCCTGAGATGAATGAAATAATGCACATGTTCTAGTTTTCAGCCTTTGGATTGTACTGCTCAAACATATGTATGTATATATATTTATTCCCAGGATCCCCATATTGAAATGGATTTTTTTAGTGTTGATTATATATGTTGTATTATACATGTCTGTCTATACCGACCACTTCATTCTGAAAAAAAAAAAAAATACTTATCATACATATCACTAAAATTACTTCTGTTCCTACTATCAAAACTTTTGAAGCAGTATTTATTCTTCTTTTTTTTTTTTCTTTTAATAATGCTTTCATCTCCTTCCCACCCTTGATCAAGGAAGTGTTTGTAGGACTGCTGCTGGCTGTTTCTAAAGTCACTGTTGTTATTTGGGTGGGGAGGAAAGGAGGACCACACACAGATCTAAAGCATACTTTGATACGTCAGATTTCAATCCAGTTTACATTACTGACATGATTTTTTTCCAACAAACAATAAATACTTACATTGTTTTGGTTTACTGATGGGCACTGCTTCTCAGTCATTAAAAAAAAAAAAAAAAAAAATTAGTAGCCTATACTGCCATCACAATTTGCCTGTAAACAGGAAGGTTTAAAACATCTCCCTATCTACTTGTACGGCTTCAGTTACCACTGAGCATCTGTCAGTCTGAACTTATGTACCCTCATAAGGACCACAGCACAGATAGGAAACGGAGGCACACTGCTGGCAGACCCAGCAGCGTGGTGCTATCCTTGCCACTTTATGCAGAAGTAAAGGGCAGTGATTTCCCTGCCTCACCCCTCAGCCTGTGAGGGTCAGTCCTTGGTCAAGGGGTCAAGAAAGAAGAAAAAACTGTCCAGAGGGAAAAATTAAAAATAAAAAAGCTGTGTCTGTTTGCAGTAACAGGTGTGCCTGTGGGAAAACAGACCACAGGACTTGTGGTAGTGGGTGTTGTCAGTGTTTTCCTGCCCGTCCAACTTAGAAAAACTTAGAGAAACTGGAGCCAACACGCTGACAAAGGTCTGCTGGTGTCTGCTGAGGTACCGTAGAAGGGAGTTTTTGTGATGTTAACAGCACAAATACTGAGCTAGTCAATTATCAGTGGGTATCTTCAGTCACAGGAAAATGTAAAATGTCAGTATTTTTTTTTTTGTCCGTCTTGTTCAAGTTCAGCTGTTAGACAGCTGTTTTCCATCAGCTGATGTGAAGATAGGATCTAATTTCACAGGACTGCTGTTATTAAACACCTTGTAATCAGGTAAAGCCCCATGCCATCTCTGTAATGCTAGTGCCTTTTCCTCTGACCAGCATCCTGTACCGGACAGAAGCTGGCAGCCCTAATGCAGCCCAGCCTTTGCTCTGCTGCACCTTCTCCTAGGGACTCACGTTGTTATTCTGAGTTTTCTAATTTGGGCTCCAGAGTTCACTTTCTGAGATACAATTGCTCTCTTTCCAAACAATATGTTTTACAATGACAAAACACCATAGCAAAACATCCACTATCCCTAAGGGAACAGAGATTTTCCCATTAACAGTCCCTTAACACTCTTATCATAATCATGAGCTATGCAGCTGGCAATAACTGCAAACCACAACCATGCAGCATTCTGAGCACTGAGAAGACTGACACATGTATTCATGGCAGAATAAAAGGTTTGCATGTTTTGTGCAGGTTAGGAGGTACAGTTGCATGGTGTGGAAAGGATAAAGTAATTTTCATAGAACAGTTTGAGTTAGAAGGAACTATTAAAGGCCATCTAGTCCAACTTCCCTGCCAATGAACAGGGACACCTACAGCCATATCAGGTGCTCAGAGCCCCATACAGCCTGACCTTGAGTGTCTACACAGACAGGGCATCCACCACCTCTCTGCGCAATCTGTGCCAGTGCCTCATCACCCTTACTGTAAAAACTTATTCTTTATATCCAATCTAAATATTCCCTCTTTTAGTTTGAAAGCATTTCCCCTTTGTCCCGTTATCACAGACTCTGCTAAAGAGTCCGTCCCCTAAGAAGGGGAGAAGAAAGACCTTACAGCTCCCCTTTAGATACTGAAAGGCTGCTACCAGGTGTCCCCAGGATGCTGAACAGCCCCAGCTCTCTCAGAGTTGTCCTTGTAGGAGACATGTTCCATCCCTTGGATCACTTTTGTGCTCCTCCTCTGGAAATGCTCAACAGGTCCATGTCTCTCCTGTACTGAGGACTCCACGTAGGAACACAGTACTCCACGTGAGGCCTCATCAGTATAGAGCAGAGCAGCAGGACCACCTCCCTCACCCTGCTGGGCACGTTTCTTTTGATGCAGCCCAGGATATGGTCGGCCTTCTGGGCTGCGAGGGCACATTGCTGGCTCACATCCAGCTTCCCATCCACCAGTACCCCCAGGTCCTTTTCGGCAGGGCTGCACATCACACTGCCGGACTGTGCTCCGGCAGCACCTCCAGCAGCAGCCAGCACTTTACGAGAGACTGCCGGTGCCCTCGCCGCACAAGGAGGCACACAGCTCCCGGCCGACGGCTTTCCGTGGCGGCGCTGACCCGCGGGACGGCGGCGCAGCCCGGGGCGCCGCGACCCCGCACCGGGCGGGGGGCGGGAGGGGGCGCGGCCTGCACCTTCCCGTCGCGGCGCAGCCCCGCCTCCCTCCCGCCCGCCAGCCAGCCGCCGCCACACCTCCCCCGGCGGCTCGGCACCCGCTGCCCGCCGAGCGGCTCTGCCCCGCCATGGAGCAGGGGCCGGCCGGGGCGCCCGCCGCCGTGGCCGCCGCCGGCGTGCTGGTGCCTCTGAGCGAGAGCGAGCAACAGCGCTACTCGGAGCTCTTCTCGCGGTGCTGCCCGCCCCCCGAGGCGGCCGCCGGGGGCAGCAGCGTGGGGGAATTGTTCCGGGCCTCGCAGCTGCCCCCGGACACTCTGCACCAGGTGGGTCGGGGCGCCGAGGGCGTGAGGAGGGTGAGCGAGAGGCTGCGCGGAGCTCCACGGCACCGCGGTGCGTCGGCTGCGGCGCCGAGCTCACCGAGAGCCCCGTGCCGGCGGGCTGCGGCGGAGCTCCGGAGGTCCCGCAGGGTTGAGGAGGGAAGCCCCGCTGCCGGGCCGGGGGTTTCACGTGCTGCCGGGGATGTCGTTTCTCGGCGGCCTTTATTTGCCGAGCGGAAAGAAGCGGTGTCGGCGCCGGGTGGGAGCACGGAGGCACCTGGCTGCGGGCGGAGGGAGCGGAACTCCGCTGTTCTGCCGAGAGCTGTCAGCCCGTCTCTCCGTGACTCCGTGTTACGTAAATCCCTATCGCACAGGTGGAAGCGGGGATGCTTCCTGCGTGTTTTTGTCCTCGCTTCGCTATTTACCAGCCGTGCAAACTGCTGTTGCTTTTCTTTGAGTCGCACCGTGGCCTTCGTCTTCTGTGTAGAGAACAGGGGTTGCCCACAGGGCCAGCGCCAAGAGTCCAATTTCAATTAGCGAGGCTTAGTTATGGAGCGTGCTAAAGCCCTGTTAGCAGATTTGTGTGACTTTGGCGTAGAGTTGTAGAAAAACACTTCTTATTTTTGCTGTGTAGGTCCTTATCCTAACTTTGGAGTAAATCTTGCTGTGTTATCACTGTCTGCTTTGGGGGTTGTTTGGGATTTAATGTGTGACTTAAGCCTGGAAATGCCGTTTTTTCAATATTCTGAGTTTTCTTTCATTTTCCCCCCACACTATTTTGGATTATTTCTTGGTATGTTTATGATGTGAAGTGAGTGTTACTGGGAAGCAGGTCTGTAATTGGCTTCAGAAATCGTCAGGATAATAAGGCCTTTGGGACCTGGGCTATTTCTCTCCCCTTTCCTGCCTTCCCAGTCTTGTTTGTGTGGCACCAATCACAGTCTGTGACTGGAGCTCCTGTTCCAAAGCCCGCTGCTGTCAGGTGCTCTTATTAACATTTTCTTGAACTGGAAAAAAAAAAAAGAGAGAGAGAAAAAAATTAACATAATGGGGGAGAAAAAAGAGTAAAACATGAGCCTTCTGATATGAGAAAAACTTTTTTTTTTTTTTTTTCCGAAGACATTAGCTGATGTTTTGTCTTTTATTGTTCTCCAAAACTGCAATTAAATGGTTTCTGTTTTAAAAAGTCATATACTGTGCTAACAGTTATGGGTACGAGGCATAGCAGTGCATGGCATCTGTTTTTTCCACTAGCATGGGGAAAGTGCATTTTAAGCAGAGGCAGCTCAGCTGGGTTAAGATAACATGATTTCTTTTAAATAATTGTTGACTGTGGAAGTTTTCTTAAAACAGAATGTGCCCTTTTAAAATCCCCATCTGCCACAACTAGTGCTTGGTGACTTGGCATCCTTACCAACCCACTGAGCTACATTTGTGTGACTTACAGATTTTCATCCTCGTGGTTATTCATTGAGGAGTGGTTGTACTGATCCACATGCTCTCAGCTGGTCCGTGTCACAGCAGTGCTGAGGTGGTGCTGTTGCCTTCAAGGCATTATGGTTTGGGATAGAACAGTGAGACATGTTCAGAGAGGTGGTAGATGCCCCATTCCTGGAGACATTCAAGGTCAGACTGGATGGGGCTCTGAGCACCCTGATGTAGCTGTAGGTGTCCCTGTTCATTGCAGGGCAGTTGGACTAGATGGCCTTTAAGGGTCCCTTCCAACTCAAACCATTCCATGATTCTGTGAAAGAAGGAGCTTATTGTTATCAGTCTTGATAGAGATTTCTCGTTGACTGGGAAGGTGTTGAACTAAGTAATGGAAGTCTCCTTCTGCCATCATTAAATGCATCATCAGTTTGTAGTCTAGGCATACATCAGGTGGATGCAGGAATGTAGCAGTTCCTGTGGAAAAAACAAGGACATGTACTCCTAAATAGCAGTCAGTGTTCAGTTTGGTTTGAGGTTCGTTGGCATGATACAGGAGGTTATTCAGATGAAACTGGTAAGGTAGCTGAGAGCAGATAGATAATGTGAGGGAATGTGCCAGAAGAGGAAGTGCTCGAATAAATAGGAAACAATCCAAGAGCAGTCAGGTCAGAAGGAGCAGATGGTATGCACCCAAGAGCTGTGAGTCTCGCTAAGAATGAAGTGCTTGAATGCAGATTCATTAAACACAGGCTTGTTAAAATCAGCTCTTCTGCTGGGCTGTACAGTACAGCAGAGGCTGCAGCTATTGAAATGGCTTTAAATAAAAGGCCAAGGAGTAGAAATTAGAAATTTAGAAATAGAAATTCTAGAGAAATTATTGGAGTTACAGCTGGAATTAAAAATGTAAAGCACTTTGTGTGACTAGGGAGGGCATGGTAGCAACTGGACAGTGTGCTTTCTGCAGGCTGTCACTGCACAGGGTTGCAATGTGACTGGGGCTGACAGGCATCTTCAGAGGATCCCAGCCCTCCCAAGTCTGTATAGTTATCCCAGCATCACAGGAGGCAACAGTGGCTGTTCTGCCTTGTCCTGTTTGGGGCACTCAAGAGTGACCCCATTTTAAAGCTGGCCCTCAGTGAGTACAGCCTCTGCTCGTTGGCTCCTTGGATTCCAAATGCATTTGTTTTGTATGCCACATGCCAATGGGCAGAGGTTTGCGTAGATTTCAGGTAAAATAGAGCTTTATGTGTAGTTATCATCTGCTGATCAGCAAAGAAGAGATGGCTTGTGCTAGTTCTGTTGTTTGCCTGTGTTACTGTGAGTCTGTGAAGATATTGGGAAATGAGGGAGCAGGAGGATAGGGCTCAAGTTTTACACTGGGCTGCTTATCTTTGTTATTAGTTTTTGACTTAATTAATTTTCATTTGGTTGTCTGTTGGAATCTTTAATTCTAGTTTTATAAACTGTAGTCTTATTTGTGGGCTTGCAGTATCAGCACAGAGATCCAATTCTATTAAGAAAGCACATTCTTTCCTCCACAAATGAACAAACTGCGTTATTTTGAGCTTTGAGGATGACAAGTACTAATTGTATGACTTTGGAAGCTGCACAGAGATGCATTTTTTAGTTAGACCTCTCCATCCAGTTCTGTGTGAATGGAGAATTCAGACTGGGGGTCTTGCTTTTCCTGTGCACGGTCTGTGTGGTATTTTGTGTTTGTGGTAACCTGTCTCTATAGTTACACTGAATTGTTTATCTGTCCTGTTGTGTTCAAAAAGCAGAAGTGTGGATAGATTAAAAAAGGGGTTGGGGGGGGGGGGGGGGGGGGGGGGAGAAGTTGCTAAGCTGCTATTTGCTGTTTCATTGGAAAAATGCTAGCAAGGGTTCACTTTTCCATCATTTATTTTTCATAGGCATGAATTACTACCTGCGTGATAGCTGGGGTGGCATTAACTGTATGCTTAGAATGCTTTCCCTGGGTGGAAAAGAACGGTGACAGTTAAAATAGGAGCTTTTTGAGGGAGAAAAGTCTGGACTAATTGTTACTTGACAAAAAGTAAAATTCATTCTGTTGTGCTCTCATGCGGAATTCAGCATTAAGCTGTTTTCAGCGCTGGAAGTGCGATTGAGCTGACAGAAGAACACCAGCTCTGTCAAAGAGGTGTTAGGTAGGAATGCACGTGGAGAAATTGCATCCAGTTGACATCTTTGAGTCAGAAAGAAACAAAGAAGGGGTGCAATTTTCTGTAAGTGTTACAGCAAAAAGAGGAAAGGAGAACTGACATTGTGGTGTCGGTTCTTCTGGCCGCAGTCCTCCAAACTGTCATTGCATTCCTAAGGTCTCAAGCAGACCTGCGTAGGAATGTGTAAATTGGAGATATATAAGAACATTACAAAAAAATAATAATTATATTTGTATATATAGTACCGAGGTAGAGGGTAGAACTTCACCTGAAACAACCTTGACCATATATTCCATTAAAAACAATTCAGTGTTCCTAGTGCATCTTAGAACTGTCTACCAGTTTAAACTATCACTTAGCAGTCAGAGGATTAGTAGTTCGGAGTGCCGAACTAAGAGTTGTGATGTAAGAAACTGCAGAGGCTGTTCTTTCTTGTGTGTGTTCCAAGCTGTAAAACCTGAGGTTTCTGAGCCTGTTTGATGTAGGCTTCTCATCAGTGGTCAGAAATAGAATCATAGAATGGTTTGGGCTGGAAGGGATCTTTAAGATCATCTAGTTCCAACCCCCCTGCTATAGGCAGGGACACCTCCCACTAGACCAGGTTGCTCAGAACCACATCCAGCCTGGCTTTGAACGCTTCCAGGGAGGTGGCATCTGCAACCTATTCCAGTGTCTCACCACCCTCCTGACCCAACCTGGTCAAGGCCTGCAGACTTTGTTGATTAACCTTCATTGCAACCAGCTATGAATTTAGCAGTTTGTTTTCCAGTAAAACAGTGCTTTGCTCTGCCAGTGATTTAAATAACTGCGCAAGAGGGATTTAGGAAGAAAGTCAACTGGGATGAAAATGAACAACTTTCATTCTTCATGAGGGAGTGCTGCAGAGTGAAGCAATGATGAAGAATTTATTTTATTTTTTTTTTTTTTAAGCAAGTGTTTTTGTTGTGGTACTTGCACAAGAGCGGTAGGTTCACTGAACAGTCAGTTGCCATCTGCAGCCACGTGCTGTCAGTATTAAAGTCTTTACCTACGGGCTGACTGATGTGGTTTGCAATTTGCATTGCAATGGAAGGGTTACATAGAGAACCCACCTGCTTCATGGGCCATTTTAGTGCAGGTGCCTTACAAAGCAGGGTTGGAGTGTGAAATTTGCAGAGCTTAGAAACTTAGCAAAGGCAGATCCGCAAAAGCCAGAACAAGCATTTCTGTGACAAGAAATCAGGATAAATAACCTATTTAAATTTAAAATACGATGATTTGGGGAGTGTGTTTGATACGCTATTTGTAAAGCACGATTCTTTGATGTATTAACATCTAAACATAGCAGCAGCGTAGTAAAATAAAACATTAATAAGCAATACATGCTAGTTCAAATGATTGTCTGCAAAGTTG